AGCAAACCTGTGAGGAAATAACTTCTGTTTATTAAAGCCACTTGAGGTATATCAGCACTAGATAACAAAGACATTTGTTAAAAACAAACAAACCTACCTCATGATCACATAGAAACTGAACAGACAAACATTTACAGAGCACATATAACAAAGAAAAACCCTGATGAAATTATACTAATGTGAGACTCTTTGTTCTATCATGTTGTTGTTAGGTGTCAAGTCAGTTCTTGACTTCACCCCATGTACAACAGAACGAAACATTGCCTGGTCCTGCATCATCCTCACAATCATTGTTATGCTTGAGCCATTGCTGCAACCACTGTGTCAATCCATCTCATTGAGGGTCTTCCTCTTTTTCGCTGACCCTCCACTTTACAAAGCATGATGTCCTTTTCCAGGGACTGGTCCCTCCTTATAACATGTCCAAGGTATGTGAGATGAAGTCTTATCATCATTGCTTCTAAGAAGCATTCTGGCTGTACTTCTTCCAAGACAGATTTGTTCATTCTTTTGGCAGTCCATGGTATATTCAATATTCTTTGCCAACACCACAACTCAAAGGCTTCAATTCTTCTTCGATCTTCCTTATTCATCATCCAGCTTTCGCATGCATATGAAGCAATTGAAAACACCATGGCTTGGGTCAGGTGCACCTTAGTCCTCAGAATGACATCTTTACTTTTTAACAGTTTAAAGAGGACTTTTGCAGCAGATTTGCCCAGTGCAATGCATTGTTTGATTTCTTGACTTCTGCTTCCATGGGTGTTTATTGTGGTTCCAAGTAAAATAAAATCCTTGACAACCTCAATCTTTTCTCCGTTTATCATAATGTTGCTTATTGGTCCAGTTGTGAGAATTTTTCTTCTCTTTATGTTGAGACGTAATCCATACTGAAAGCTGTAGTCTTTGATCTTCATTAGTAAGTGTTTCAAGTCCTCTTCAATTTCAGCAAGCAAGGTTGTGTCATCTGCATACTGCAGGTTGTTAATGAGTCTTCCTCCAATCCTGATGCCACCTTCTTCTTCATATACTCCAGCTTCTCAGATTATTTGCTCAGTATGCAGATTGAATAAGTATGGTGAAAGGATACAACCCTGATGCACATCTTTCCTAACTTTAAACCATGCAGTATCCCCTTATTCTGTTCCAGTGACTGCCTCTTGATCTATGTACAGGTTCCTCATGAGCACAATTAAGTGTTCTGGAATTCCCATTCTTATGCAATGTTATCCATAATTTGTTATGATCCACACAGTCGAATATGTTTGCATACTCAATAAAGCGCAGGTAAACATCTTTCTGGTATTCTCTGTTTTCAGCCAGGATCCATCTGACATTAGCAATGATACCCCTCCTTCCAAGTCCTTTTCTGAAACTGGGTTGGATTTCTGGCAGTTGCCTGTCAATGTACTGCTGCAACAACTTTTGAATGATCTTAAGCAAAATTTTACTTGTGTGTGACATTAAAAATATTGTTTGATAATTTCTGCATTTGGTTGGATCACCTTTCTTTGAAGTAGGCATAAATGTGGATCTCCAATTTGTGGGCCAGGTAACTGTCATCCAAATTTCTTGGCATAGAAGAGTGAGCAATTCCAGTGCTGCTTCTATTTGTTGAAACATCTCAATTGGTAGTCCACCAATTCCTGGAGCCTTGTTTTTCACCAATGTCTTCAGCTCAGCTTGAACTTCTTCCTTTGGTACCATAGGTTCTTGACCATATGCTACATCCTGAAATGATTGAATGTTGACCAATTCTTTTTGGTACAGTGATTCTATGTGTTCCTTCCATCTTTTTTTGATGTTTCCTGCGTCATTTAGTATTTTGTCCATAGAATCCTTCACTATTGCAACTCATGGCTTGAATTTTTTCTTAAGTTCTTTCAGCTTGAGAAATGCTGAGCATGTTCTTCCTTTTTGGTTTTCTAACTCCAAGTCTTTGCATATGTCATTTATAGTAGTTTGTCTTCTCTAGCTACCCTTTGAAATCTTCTGTTCTGTTCTATCATATTCTATTTATTCCATCTATTCTTATTGTCCCATATGGTTTCCAAGTAGCAGCTCGTGGATTGGAAGTGTGGACTTTTTGGTTAGCAGCCATCGTAGCTCTTAACCGCTGCTCTTAACCAGGGCTCCATTCTTAATATATGTATTATTAACTTATTTTCTATCTGTAGTTAACACCTTAGGAGTTCTGCAAGTGTCTCACAACTACTTGCATCCTTTTTTCTAGTTAATGTGTGAGTAAACCTATGTTCGCAAGCTATTTGTTTACTCACTTTACCAGAAGGTAGGCAGTTCGAATCCACCAGTCACTCCTTGGAAACCTTATGAGGCAGTTCTACTCTGTCCTATAGGGTTGCTCTGGGTCAGAATTGACTCAACGGCAACAGGTTTTACTGTCTATGCTCAACACTTTTAAAAGTGTCATCAATTTCACTTATTTTTCTTATGTCTTATAGCAGAACTGATTATTCTCAAATAATCAGCAACAATATACTGCAAGCCTATGAAAATAACTGAACCAAAGGTACTGATATTAAAAAGGAAGAATTTAAAGACAAAATGTTCAACACAAAAAGGAAGCTGAAAATAAAGCTTACAATATGATTCCATTTATATAAACTTCAAAAACATGAAACACGAATTGATATTTTGCTTAGCAAACACTTCTGTAACACTTAGTAGGGGCCACAAAGTGAAATATATGCTTTCTTGGCCTTACTTTATTTTATCCTCATAATACTATGAGACTCATACTAATATTACCGACATTTTGTAGAAGAGAAAACTGATAAAAGAAGTGCTATTTAATTTTTCCAAAATCCTACAGATTTAAAAGTGACAGGGCCACCTGTAAGAAGTTGAATTGGCTAAAGTTGTGTGACAGATGTATTTACAACAGCTACAGCTACAAAAAGAGTAGCTGCTGAGGCTACTTAGGTACAACAAAATTCTCATTGGATTTGGGTCCTTGGTTTGGAGGCTTAGGGTCATGGTTTCATGGGAAAACCCAGTTAACTGGTCTAATAAAGCGTTTATTGCTTCTGTTCTGCCTCCTAGCTCATTGTGTAGTGCCCGGAGTCTTAAAAGTTTGCAAGCTGCCATCCAAGTCATTACAATTCATGTCTAGTTGCCTGGAGCAACAAGGAAAGAAGGCTAGTCAGTAACAGTAGGAAGATATGGAATGTGATGCTAATTGCCTCCATGAACAACTACCTCGTTTGCCATGAGACCAGAAGTATTGGGTAGTGCTCTGCTACCATTACTGAACATTTTGATCAAACATTATACAAGAATCCTGATCAAAAGGGGAAAATGCAGAATAGAATTTCAAATTCTCATAGACTTCAGGCTTTCTGGAGCATGGAGGCTGGATGAATTCCTGAAAATACTGCCCTGATAGAATCTTTAAATCTTAAAACAAAAATATTCCCTAAAGTCTTCTTAAAACCAACCTGTAGGTTAGTTTAACTAGTAAAACATATGTGCCTTGAACATTATGCTCTTTTAAGAACTAGTTATAGGGGATCAAAGTGACAACAACAACATAAAAAATTAGATGGGAATCTTGCGGGGCAACGAGTTTTATGTTAATGGAGGAGGAACAACACAGAAAAAGAGCATGAAAATTGTTGTACAACTGGAAGAATGTAATCAATGTCACTGAACTGCACATGTAGAAACAGCTGAATTGGTGTATGTTTTGCAGTGTATATTCTATACTCCAAAAATAAAATACAATAAAAAATCATCAAAAAAAAAAAAAAAAAAGTGACCAAGCCAAATTTTGAAAGCAAGCACACTGGCTTTAGATTCTCTGTTCTTAAACAGTATACCATGACGCTTCTGATTTTTTATAGCAAACACAGACCTATAAGAAGGAAATAAAATAAAAGTGAGAGAATGTTGAAGTGATGTTCAGAGAATAGTCATTCCATTATACAGGAGACTGAGGTGTTGTCGGAGGACACCGGTCTTCAAAAACCCTGATAATATCGTTATCTATCCCATTCAGATTATAAATCATCTCCAATCCTTGGAAATTACAGAAGTCCTTTTCTTTAAATACTACATGAGAAAAGCTTCCAAAATAGAATGAGTTGAACTATATTAATTTCTTCTAATACTGTTCTGTCTTTTGTTTCAGAGCTAGCAGTTTCTCTTTTCAGGATGAATATTACACTGGCTTCCACTAGTGTAATCACTTTAAATCCTGAGTGAGACTATAGAGATGACCGAAGGATTCATCTTGATGCGCACAGAAAAATATGGGGAGAGAAAAATGTGCAGAAACATTTCATGGCTGAAGGCTGATATGACTTAGGTAAATAAATTTCTATAATATTTGCAGTTTATGCCTACATAATTAGTTAATTCTAATTTACTTCTAATTTATTCATCCAAAGAATACAATATAGTGAAATTTGCTGGTCTCTAAGCCTCTAATCACTCCACCATTCATCCACTCAGTCACTAGAGAAGACAAAGCTCCTTAAATTAACACTTCAGTCATGACTTCAACTTGCATGACTGAGGACATATGCCCTTTTCAGATCCCAGATATGTGAAACCCTCCAGAATGTCAAATATCCCACCCATCTCAACACCAACGATCTAGTAATTTCCATAACTCACACTGGGTGTATGTGCATATTTGGGTTGGAGGTGAAGTCTTTATCTTCTTAACTTTGTCAATAGTAGGTCCCACTTCATGTTCATAAATCTTGGAGTCCAACAGGTATGATATGTAGATGGAGTCTTAAAAAGTGGCAGGGCCAAAACAGGCTCCAGAGGGGTCCAATCACTCTTACTTCAACCACTCAGGCAAATAATGGATGCAAAGACCACACAATAGGGGAAAATGTGTTTATTTTCATAGTTCAGGCCTCCAGGGACTGGGGTGAATACAGTGACTTGAGGGTAGAGATGGAAACTCAGTAGATAGGATGGAAAATGGGGATGGAAAGACGGCTCAGTTTGTTTTTTGATTATGGTTATCACTGGGAGAGTTCGTCATTCACTTTCCAGCAGTGTCTAGTTTTGAGCTTGCAGACAAAGGAGAACTTTGCCTCACAACACTTGTCCTTCCATTTCTGGAATCCTGTAAGCTGATGGCGATGAATCAGACTGAGAAGAACCAGAAAAAGGTTATGACCTTTCCTGGATCTAGGCCTCAGAACAAGACATATATGAAATGTCCCTTCAATTTCCTGATGAGGAGTTCACCTTTCCCCACCTCCAACACCGAGAGCAAGAGCAGGAGAGGATGGAAGCAGCTGGGTGGGATGGTTTCTCTGCCTCTCACCTGAGTTTGAAGTCAGGTTCACACAGTAGCCAGGTTGACACCGCTTGGGGATCCACTTGCCCAGGCTTTGTATGAGACCATGGATCCACTGCTCCAGTGCCAGCGGTGGTTCTGGAGGGGGCGGGACTAGAAGACGGGTGGAGGTCACTCAGAGAGAGATAGAAACACTTGGCCCATGTGCACATTGAGGAACAAGTCAAAATGTGCAGAAGGAATGAACTAAGCTGCCCTAAGTACACCATACCCTTTCCTACCTCTACTTCTGCTCTCAGTTTCCCTAGTAAGGTAATGCCCAATTGCTTCTCTCGTCACACCAAATATTAAGGGTGTTGAACTTGATACAGAGTCCCAGAACAGTGTCTTGTACAAAGAAATTTCTGATTTTTCTTTTCTGAGTCTCCATAACCCTCACAGTCCAGCACAGCATTGACTGTTCATTAGTTGTTAATATATTATTTAGCATACATAGCCAGTATCACAAATGCCAGCAGTAGACTCTCCTCCTCTAATCTCCTTTCCTGCACATTTGGCAAAGGGCTGTCTCTTAATGCAGGAAATAACAAGATTCAATAACAGTGGGTACATAAAAGTGCTTTGCTAGAAGTAGACAGAATGACATTATCATGAATGCCAAGAACACTCAGGAAATTCAGTTTTGGCTGATCTCTCTAATATCTGAAGTGAATATCAAGACCCCTTACATTCTGAAATTCTTGCAGTGGTTTATTTTAAAGGCAATAATAATAAAAGTTGGGTCATGGAGTGTGTAATCTTGTACTTCCCTCTTCTCTCATAAATCTGTGTGTTAGGAAAGGAAAGAGGCAGAAGACTTACCTTTTGGGGCTCATGGAGGCCAACCCAGACATTGAAGTCATCAGTGCTGCTCTCCTTAATCAAGGAGGCCAAGAAGGTGCCCTCAGCCTGGTGGAGCACAGACACCAGGTGGCCCCCGTGCATGTTCTGGCAAGAGCTGTCCATGGGAAAAAAGAGATCAATTCTCAATGGACTAGGACGTCAGGAAGATACTGCAGGACATCCCATAGGGTGGGCCAGGAAAAGGACAGCTAAGGACAGGTTCCTGTTCTAGGACTGTGCAGAATAAAAGGACAAGAAGGAGGGGGAAGGGTCTGTATCTGGTGACAGGATAGCTAGGCAATCGGTCCTATCTCATTGAGTCCACAGGGGACGCTGGATATTAACAGCTTGTTTTATACGCTTGGACCACCCATTGATTGTTCTTATGCTGCTCCTCTCACGCACTTCTGCATCAACCCAGGTCTCAAGGTCTTCATTAAAGTAGTGGCAGTAGGAGCCATAGGCATTGGTGCTTTCTGGGCAGCTGATCTGGACAGAAGGCAGCTCTGTTTGTGCCTCCTAGCCTGGAAAGGAAAGGCCATAAAGGGAGTCACAGGACAGGGTAAAGGCTGGAAGGTCAGGGAGTAGCCCATAAGACTCCATTATTAAAAAAAAAAAAAAAAAAAGAAACCATTTCCATTGAGTTGATTCTGACTCATAGCAACCCTATAGGACAGAGAAGAACTGCCCCATAGAGTTTCCAAGGAGCACCTGGTGGATTTGAACTGTTGACCTTTTGGTTAGCAGCTATAGCACTTAACTACTCTGCCACCAGGGTTTCCTGACTCCATTATAGGAACATACATATACAAGACCGATATGAAGTGATTGCTCACTTCTGCCTTTCTGCCACCTTTCTCTTCTTTCTCAAGCTTCCTTTGCTCTAAACAATCCCACCAAATGAAATAAGTGCAAAATGAGTTCCATATTTCTCTTTCCCTTTCTGGGTACTTCTCCATCATTTAGGGGCCAGGCTTCTACCTTTCTCAAGCTTCTTCTGGTTCTCCTGCACACAAGGCTCTCTTCAATTCTCCATCCCATTTGTTGTCTTCTATGTACTCCCTCCCAAAACCAGCAACCTAGTCTAAAGAGATGAATAAGTCTAACCTTAGTGGTCAAGGGCCACAGCTAACATTAAATACCATCTCAAAGTCCCTAATGATGCGAGGATGCATTTTTAATCAGATCACAGCAGCAATAACCCTCACTGGACAAACCTAAAACCCTTCTGTTGAAGCTGCCTGTTCCTAGGAAGACCAAAGTGCATGTGGAAGACATGGGAGTTTGAGGGTTGGAAGACATGGTGGGAAGAGCTTACCTTGGCTCAGAGATGGGAACATCAGGCACAAGCTCAGAATCAAGCATGAGCTGATGTATGCCATGCTAAGCAGCAGAGACTCTCTTACTGAAGGAGCAATCAGAAGTCTCTGAAGGAAAACACAGGGTTTTCCTTCAGAGAACAGGGTTCAGAGAGATGGAGAGCATAGCTCTTACTACCTTCCTTATTGTCCCTTTTCTCTGAGTTCCTGAGAGTATGATTGCACCTTTGGGGCTCCCACACCTTCAAATGCTTTTCTTTATAATTTGAGTATTATGTGGACCTCATTCCCCAAAGGCAGCTTTGGCTCATGTTGAGGCCCCATGAGTGCTAAAATCTCTAGGGAAGAAAATCCCCCTGATTTTCCCCCTATGATGTGACAAAAACAGCCTAAGTCAGGGGCACTTCTCCTGTACCAGCCACTTGCCAGGTTAGCTGCGTCTGGGATGGCCGTCAGGCCAGGCAGTGATGGTGCCTTTATAACAAGATCTGAGTGTGGAGTCCCAACACATAATCAAGGGGAGAGCCAAGTAGACAAGGTCAGAGGCCCCAGAGGGAACTGAAGCCAAAGGCACAAGGCAATCCAGGAATCAGAGGAGCCTCTTTCTGGTACATGCTGGGAATGGTCACAGATAAATCCTTTGCCCACAAACAGGTCAGTAACCTGTCCAAGGCAAAGGCAGGCTTTGCCCTTTCCCTAGCTGCGTGCACATTCCCAGTTCCCGTGGCCCTGAGTAGGCTCAGAAGGAGGAGAGAACTTCCAGAAATCTGAGGGCTGGTGAGAAGAGGAGGCGAGAGGGAGGAGGGACAGAGAGTTTTTGAGTGTATAGTAGGGCAATCTGAGTGACACAGGGACAAGGATGCCGAGGGACATGATGTAGCCATCCCTGCTTGGGACAGAGGGAAAAGTAGTTTGAAATTCAGATGATTTAAGTTCTTGTTCCAACATCTCATTGTGGAAGAAAAAGGACTAAATCTCAACTATTCTTTCAGCCTGTGTTTTTACCTTTTATTTTATTCTTGTTAACATCACGCATCCTTTCTTTTGACTCTAAATACCCCACTACTTGCCCATTTCTCCTCTGTTCTTCTTTTGTCTCCCTTACCCTGCCATCAGTTTCCTGACCTGTCTTCCCCTGTGTCACCTTGTTATGATCTCGCTATACATCCTAAACCCTCATTCATTTGAACCCTGTCAGTCTTAGAAGTTTCCTGAAAGCTATACTGCTCTTTCTCCACTGGGAACACTTTAAAGTCCATCAAGATCACATTCTGGCTTGAGCAAAGGGGCCTCAAGGCACTTTCTAAGCATCGCTATGGTCAGACTCTGCTTGCCCTCACATCCTCCCATACGCTAGAATTTTCTATCGGTTCCTTTCTACAATGGTGTTTTCTCTACAGGGTCAGACCTGGGAATTCTTTTCCATTGTTTTCCTTAAGCATGGCCTAAAATAGGTTATTTTATATAGATTAAGAGCTATGTCTTAATTACCTAGTACTGCTGTAATAAAATACCAAAGGTGGACAGCTTTAAAGAATAGAAATTTACTGTCACACAGTTTTGGAGGCTGGAAGCCCAAATCAATGTGTTGGCTGGGCCATGCTACCTCCTAAGTCTCTAGGGGAAGATCCTTTCTTGCTTCTCATAACTTCTGGTAGCTCCAGGTCTTCCTTGGCTTATAGATGCATCTTCAAATTACCATCCTTCCTCTTTCTGTGTCTGTGTGTCTCTTCTCCTCTTTTACAAGAACACCAAAAAGATTGAATTATGGTCCACCCTATTCCAGTATAACTTCATGTTAGCTTAATGAACAACATCATTAAAGATTCTATTTCCAAACAAGTTCTCATTCATAGGTATCAGGGGTTAGGACTTCATCATGTCTTTTTGCAGGACACAACTTAATCTTTACCAGTTATGAAACCTGAATCTTTTTTTTATAATGGGCACTAAGTAAGTCTGTCCTTTGCCCCAGAAGGAGACATTATCTTTATTATACTGGAAAGTTAGCATGCTTGTCTTCACAGTGGATGGAAACTATTCCTATCTTCCAAGACTAAGAAAACCTGACCATTACTTTAAAGGAAGATGCTGTCTCTATTGTCAAAGTCTCTTCACTACACACACATCCTTAAAAACATAGTCCAGAACAAAGGGCAATTGGTACTTCTGTTTTCAAGACATACAGAAACATGAGAGACATTTAGAGGCTTGTCTCCTAACAGTTCACTGCACATTCTTTCGTTCCTCAATAAAAATAGAGCATTTTTCCACTTGGAATACTGTATGACTTTCAGAAAATGATGATTAGTATGGCTTGAAGTGTTTGGGGGAATGTCTGGGGCAACTTGAGAGATGCTGAGCATTTGAAAATGATGGAATTGAAAAATGACAGCACTTAAAGCATTATGCAACAAGAAAACTTTGATCATCCCCATGATGAATTCTGAGCAGCACCTAAGACATTTACAGGCATATCCTGAACACTTCATCCCCGGTTAACAGAACTACAAAACTCCACACATTGTATCCTTCAATGTAACATTTTTCAGCTAACATTTATATAGGAAAGTTTTAAATATGCAGGCTCAAATTTCAATATAAATCCTTTAATAAAATTATGAGCAGGCTAAGTCTCAAAGTCCACTTTAAATATATCAATAAAACATCGGAATCATGAACAGTCAACAAAGGACACATAGGTCTCAGGTGTTGCAGGTGTAAGGAGAGGCAAACAACTGGTAATGAACTCCTTGGGTAGTTAAGTAATCATTAAGCAGCCATTTGGTCTATAGACCCAACATTGGATCACGCCACCTCATACAAAAACAAAACAAATTAAAGAATAGTTTTTAACAAGCCATTCATTTTCTGACAATCAGGAAGCCAAGTTTTAACGAATAGGCCATCCTAACATGATAGTTTGCTACTCATATATAGGTGTGTTTTAGAGAATTGTTTGGAGGTTTGGGTTGATACTTATTGTATTGTATTTTTCTTTTGTTGAAATAATGACACGAAAGCTCACAGATAGCACTTTCACACAGACGTCAGATTTTCAGAGAATTTATTTAGTTGGATTCAGTTGGAAGAATTACTATCATCTTATTTTTCATTACCCTGGTGGAGCAATGGTTATGCATTCAGCTGCTAACCAAAAAGGTGGGCAGTTTGAATCCACCAGCAGCTCCTTGGCAACCCTAGGGGGCAGTTCTACACTGTTCTGTACGGTCGCTATGAGTCGGAATCCACTCAACGGCGATGAGTTTTCATCTGCCACCATCAGATGCTGCACATGCAAAACCAAAAAAAAACAAACCATTTGCCTTCAAATCAATTCCAAATCATGGCAGCCCCAAGTGTTGCGCAGTAGAATTGAGCTTCATAAAGTTTTCATGGCTATGACCTTTCAGAAGTAGATTGCCAGGCTTTTCTTCCAAGGTGCTTCTGAGTGGGTTTGAACTGCCACCCTTTTGGTTAGTAGCCGAGTGCTTAAGGCTTTGCACCACCCGGGACTTGTACTGGTCATTTTCATGAGTTTGGAAGAAAGAGCACAATCAGGAGAGACTGTCGTGGGAAAAATGCTCTGTCCACACTTCCCTGCTGCTTCTCTCTTCCCTGAATTTCTCTCCAAAGGTCCTCATTATCCCCAGACTGGAGCCCCTTCATCCCCTTCTGTGCCACTTAATTGCTGTTGCAGTCATTCCTGGAAGGTCTCCTCTCACTTTTTCTGCCTCTCAGGGACATGGGAACTGGGCTCCAGAGAGCACCCAGGGAATGGGCAAACTCCACCTTTGCTTGGAGGAAAGTCTGTATTGATTGTGGGAGGAGGTCTTATCTTGGGTGGGCTTAGCATCTGCCTGGAAGTGCCACTCCCATTGCCAGGAATCCCTATGACCCCAAGTCCCTTATCCCTTCTCAATGTCCTGGGCTTTCTCTGCTCACTTGCTAGGCATGATTTCTGCTCTGCCCGTCCCTCAGGTCCTAACATGAAATATTTTCCCCATATATCCTGGTGTCTTAAGATGGGTTCTCTAGAAAAGCAAAACCAGCAAAGTGTATACACATAGATATATAGATAGAGATTTACATCAAGGAAACAGCTCATGCGATTGTAGAGGGTAGAACCTCCCAAGTCCGTGGATCAGGGTAGAGGCCTCTTCCAAGCCACGCAGCCACAGAAGCTGGCAAGTCTAAGATGGGCAGGTCAGAGAGCAGGGTCCTGCTCACAGGCTGTGCAGATCAAGAAATCCCAAATTCAGCAGATAAGCTGACAGCTCAAGTCCCAAGAACTGGAAATGAGACGACAGGAGGCAGCCGCAGGATGCAGAGAGAGCAGAAAGACAGAATGTCTGCTTATATTCAAATGTGGGCCACACCCCCAAGGAGACTCCCTTTCATCTGATTGGCTACTCACAGTATATTCAATCATGGAAGTGATTACATTAAAACACTGAGAATCATGGCCCAGCGAAGTTGACACACAATCTTAACCATCACACCTGGCAAACCACTAGTTAGACAGTGGGGAGCTGTGAAGGCAGGTCCTTCATTGTCTCTATCTCCTCCTCTTCCACATCCTCCTATTATAACTTAAAAAAATAAAAAATTTCTGTAGTGTCATTTATAATAGTAAACCCATATTCAATTGAACGGATGTACCACAATTTATTAAACTAATATGGTTTATTGAATGCTTATGTTATTTTTAATGTTCATTTTAGAAAAGGTAGAAATAAATATGCTTTTGAATAAATTTCAAATCCCATGACATTTTGCAATGGTGTTTTATATTTTTCAATTTCAGAGAGATGGAAAGTACTTCTCTCTGGAAAATGGCTGGCAGCAGAGACCTGGTAATGAATTTCTCATGCTGTTAAGGAATCACTAAGCAGCCACTTGGTTTCTAGATCCAGAATATGGATGCTAATTGGCCTTGATGGAGTTTCAGGCCACTTAAATTACATGATGTTCAATATATCCATGTGAGAAAAACAATGTTCAGTCTAAACCTGATTTAGAGAGAGGAATTTTGGAAAAGGTTAATAAGCCACAATATTACACTTTTTTTTTTCCCAAGAAATCTCCTAATTCTCCTTCCTTCCATTGCTCTGGAACAAGGGTAGTATTTTTATTTTATCTTATCCATATGCCTTATCTCCTCTATAATTTTCTAAAATATACAACATCACCAGTCTTAGATTTGAAAAATCAAGTCATTTAAACCCTACCTGGTTACTTTCAGAGGAAGGCTGAGACTAGCAGGGTATACTTGTTACCACAATAACGCAGATTGGAGCGGCCTGCCGCAATAGCCAATTCTGAGACGGGTGAGATGAACAGCAAGCTGTTTATTATATATCGATATGTAGGAGGCGGAGGGGAATAGATTCCTCAGAAAAACCCATCTCCCCCACTGGAGATCGGCTGAAGGCTTTTATAGGGACAGGATTATGGATCTTAGAAGTTTGTGTTAGTTTCCCCTTGAGGTGGTGATGTCTTAGATGAGTTAACCTTCTACTGGTATTCTTAGAGGTTATCTGGTGACATCCTTGGGGATTATCTGGCAACATCCTGCTTTTTCTTGTCACAAGATGGGTGCTTTGTTTGGTTTTTCATTCTTAGATCATTATCACTTGTTTTCCACCCTCCAGGGAGGAATGTAGGTTAATCTGAAACCTTTTGTACAGACTGGAACTGGAGGGAAAAAACAAAACCATGAGACAATGAGGTGGTTAGCAATGGAGAGTAAATAATAGTGAGCCAGGCCTATGCAGCCTCTTCCATACTTACATAATAGTTTGATCAGAAGGAAACTATAAAGAGCTTTCACAGTACAAGTTGGTATTGTGAATTGAGAAGGAACAACCAAAAGTACAAGAAAAATTGGAAAAATTATATTTGATGGATGACAAGTGTCAACAGCAAACTGACGATGAGAAAGTAGCTGATCCCTTGATTTTCAAGCTACCAAATTTGGGATGCCTCCTTTCTCTGGACGTGTCTGGGTTTTTATTCTGTTGATGTTAGTAACATATTAACTGTGGATTACTATGCAATAACAAAAACTTTTTATCAGTTTTCAGTTTCTTATCTCCAATTGATTATGATAGCAAATCTTACCTACTTGCAATTCTCTGCCTGAATGTACGTGCAGCAATAGTCCCTGGGTATTTAATCAGCTTCATTGTCCTTGGCCCTCCTTCCATTAGCACCCAAATGTTCCTCTAGGGAACACCCAATCCTATTGAGGAGAAGGCTTCCAATGGCTTGGGTGATATTGATTGCACCCCAAGGTCCTGAATGGTTTATAGGTTATGTGATTCAGTCAGCTAATGTCATCCTCTTTGCTGTAGTAATTGTTCAAAGATGTGCAGTAATTCAAACTTCAACCACCAGCACATGACATTCTTGAATATGTTAACATGTTCATGTTTGCCTGAAAAAACAGTGAACCTTGAGGTATTTCTTTTATTAATTTAGGAAACAATATATGTTTTCCCTTCTGGTATTGATGAGGAATCAATAGACCCAGCTGCTATTAGTTGCTATTGTAAGTCAGTAGGGGGATAGGACAGGAGACCTGTTGGTGCAGTGGTTAAAGCATTTGTCTGCTAACCAAAAAGGCTGGTGGTTCAAACCCACTAGCGGCTCCACAAGACAAAGATGTGGCAGTCTGCTTCTGTAAAGATTTACAGCCTTGGAAACCCTATGGGATGGTTCTATTCTCTCCTATATGGTCACTATGAGTCCAAATGAACTTGAGGACAATGGATTTTTTGTTAGGTGAATAAGACATACATATGAAAAAGAGTAGACAAGAGAATCCCAGAGAAACGACACTTAAGTCCTGATTGAATGGGGCTCAAAGCTTACTTTAAATTTAGATTCCTCAGTTACGTGATCCAATAAACCCCCTTACTTTTTTACACAAAATCATAGCGGGATCTTTTTTATGTGCAACTGAAAATGTCGTTTCTTAATTCGCTCAGCAATAAGTCAGACACAAAATGAGAAATAGTGTAGGGTTCTGCTGATGTAAAATATTCAGAATAGGCAAATGCACAGAGACCAAAGTTTATTAGTGGTTTTCAGTGGGGAGAGGGAAGCGGAGGGGGTAGTTATTGCTAAAGAGGCACAGAGTTTCTGTTAAGGGCAATGAAAATATTTGGAAATGGATTGTGGTGATGGTTGCACAATAAGGGCAATGTAATTAATGTCACTGAACTGTATATGTAAAATGGTTAAAATGGCAACTGTTTTGTTACATATATTTCATCACACACAAAAAAAATCAAATGATACCTTAAAAAAGAAAAAAAGTCCTTTATTATACAACGGGGCTCTCCAAAGGCAAGAAGAAAGAACATGCTCTGATCTTTATACCTGCAGTAACTCACCTGGCATTATAGACAGAACTCAGACAAAAAGATGAGCTGGCACAGGAACAGTCACATGAACAAACACATGAATGCACCCACTCCTCACTTATTGATATGTTTGGTTCCAAAGACCAGGTCGTTATGTGAAAATTGGTGTTACGCAAAAATGGAGGATGACCATATCAGATCATAAAATATTATGTGGGACACATTTGTCCTTCTGGACTCAGGAGGCAAAAATGTTGGTGAGTGCTGTGTGTCCCACTTGTCATGAAAGAGTTACTGCTAGATGTAAGTTGTTATTGTGCAAAATAGTTTGACAGATTTTTTACTATTGTTGTAAATGTGAAATGTCAGATAATGAGATAGTCAATAAGTGAGGGCACGGTTTTTAAGATCTCAGCTGCTAACCAAATGGTCGGCAGTTTGAATCCACCAGCCACTTCTTGGAAACCCTATGAGGCAGTTTTACTCTGTCTTATAGGGTCGCTATGAGTTGGAATCAACTCAACTGCAATGGGGTTTTTTTCTTGTTGTTGTTTAAGTGTAATACAGATTCATACTAATTTTGTTCTTCCCTTTACTCAGGTAAGGGAAGCCTCTTCAAAAAAGCATCATTTATTAAATTTTTTATTCATTCAAATATACTAAAAGAAATCATGCCAGACATTAAAATCATCCCAGCTCCAGTCCAGATTGAAGCCAGAACGTATTTCATGGCACAAAACAGAGGATGTACTAGGGCCCTGTTCAAGGGCCCTCTAGGTCCAGAGCAATACATAGTGCAATGGACTAGTGCTGGTATCCAAATAGTTTGCTAATCAGCCACGGCAAGGTAAGTACAAAAAGCGAAAGACATCTGATAGATTAATTTTATGTATGTTAAAAGTAATTTTAAAAATTGGGGTTGCATTTAGATTATTTCTTTTATCCATTTCATTTTTTTATTAACTCATTTTAATTATATTACAGATATTAACCCATGACTGATCGACTGAACTAAAAAAAGAAAAGAAAAGAAATAATACTTCACTCCTGATGAGTTACAGAAATACTGTTCTAAACCCAATCTGAGGCCCTTAAGGTGGATTGTGTCACAGCATCAGACCTGGATTGGGGGGCTGTGTATGTTGTAGACAGTGTAGGAGAGTAAGGTCTATCCACAACCCAAACTTTCCAAGTGCAGGGCCCATACCCTCATCACAAATACACTGGCAGGAATTTACATTTCATCATTTACACAAGGACTAACAGAAATTGAACAAAGACTAAAACCACAGTGTTTGCTCCCCAACCCACTTTCTCCTCAGGGTCTAACTATAAGACGGGAGCACACAAGTGCAGAATAAAATTTTATTATTGCTCTCTGAGGCCTCAGGCCGTGGAACAGACAAAAGATCCCGAAATGAGGGTTGCAGGGGGAGGTAAGAAAAGGGATGCTCAGAATTAGGAGGCCAGCTTGAGGGTGTGGGAGAGAATATTCCCTTCCTGGGTGGGTCTTCACACTAGGTCTCAAGTCCACAATTATCACCCAGCTCCAGCTGCTAACTTTTCACTCATCCCAGGCCTTGAACTTGCAGACATAGGGTAACCTCTGTTCACAGTTATAATCTTTCCATTTCAAGAATCCTGGAAAGGCAGAGGGGTAAGGTGTATGGTATTGGTAGAGATTGTGAACCCAGTGGGGATGGTATCCCATATTCTGGTCTAGGACTGAAAGCCTCTCCTTAATCTTCCCCAGTGCCCCACTCAGGTAAGGAGACACAAGGAAAGGAGAGATGAGAGAGGATGGGAGACAGAAAAACCAACACTAAATTTTCCAACATGGGCATTTCCTGAATGTCAGGCAATAAGGGGATGGGAAGGGAGGGAAGCAAGTGGTTCTGCTGTTTCTTACCTGTGCTTCGGGGCAGGGTCCCACAGTAGCCAGGATTTGTGATGGTAGAGGGACTTCTCTCCCAGGCAAAGTAATTCATCAAGTCAGTGCTACTCCACTCCCATCCACCTGCATTGAGTTCAGCGCCCTGTAAAGGAAGGAACCAAGTCAGGGGAATGGGCGATACAACACTGGAATGCCTGATCCTCTCTCCAGCATCCTGGAATTTGGATGGCTCTTCCAGGTGTTGCCCCAGGACTATTTCCTCTGGAAAGCTCTCCCTTAAATCTGCACTCCTTTTGGCAAATTCCAAACCCAAGGCCAATGGAACCACCCATGTTACCAGCTGAACAACACTTGGTGATGCATTTGTGATTAGCCTCTGGAACTCAAAGACAATGTCTGTTCTACAAGAGCAAAAAATATCCTTCTTTATGTAGGCTTTCCTCAGCACAATTTGCTCAGACTCCTGAGCTCAGAGAACTAAATGACAAAGCCTCATATGAGAATTGTGAGAAAAGTATAAAAGAGGCACAGTAGCTTTAGCTGTAGACCAGAACCTCCATAGAACACAGCTCCCCAGCTAGCCACAAGACCATCCCTTTCCTCCCAAATGTCCCCCAGGATCTCTGAGTTCCAGGGTTCCATTGAGTACTTCCCAGGCAGACACAAGAGACAGAGACTGAGGCTGGTGACAACAGCCATTTTAGAGATACAACAGAGGAGAGAATGCAGTCACACCATTGTGGGATCATGGAGCCCAATCCAGACATTTGCGTAGGTGGCTGAAATGCTCTTCACCAGGGAGTCCACGAAGGATGCTTCAGCCGCACTGAGCACAGACGCAAGGTGTCCTGAGGACAGCTTCTGGCAGGCTATCTGTGTGGGAAAGGAAAGACAGAGGGGGAGCTGGGACTTCACTGGGAGAGGTGCAGGAAGGAGGTAGATGGTAAGGGTGGTGTACAAGAGATGTAGGTGCACATTCTCACCACCAAGGCACCCTGGAGAATGGGAGTCTCCTCCCACCCCCAGCTCTGGTCTCCGATGTACTTTCCCTTGTGACCCCCATTCCACATCACACTACATACATCCGCATCCACCCAGGTTTTTGTCGTTACAAACAAGGCATAGCAGTAAGAACCATAAGCTTTGGAGCCTCTGGGACAGCTGATCCGGGCAGAGTGATATTTCTTTGAGGAATCTTCAGCTGTAGTGGAAGGAAAATAAAGTAGAGGAACATGGTGAGATGAAGAGTGGTGATTGAGGAGGGGAAGATGGGGAGGCTACATTGGAGAAATATCTGTGAGGCCAGTGCTTAGGGAGTGATGTCACACTCCTGACTACCTCTCACCTTTGCCAACTCTTTCAGGATTTCTTGATCTTGAAGCAGCCACTCTAAATGGTAGACCATCTCCCCTCTTTTTACCCTCCCCCCTTCTTAAATGTCCAACTCTTCCTGGATGACTAACCCTACACTGGGGCCTCTCTATAACTCATCATTGACTCTTCATACTTTATCTCTTCAACCTCTCAACACTAATTAGAGTCCATGGACAAAATGGGAAGTCATCTTATTCCACTGTTAATAAACCACTCTAATGCCTCCCACCATTGGTTAACCTGGAGGAAGTAGTAATGATAGGGAAATTGCAGACCATTTGATTATGTGGCAATATACCTCACCATTACCACATGTTTCACACAGGTGGCTTTCTTCTCTTCTTGGCCCTGAAATTCACAAGGAAGTCAGTGCTAAAGGTAGAGAAACCTCACCTTGGACCTGGGATAGGAGCATCAGACAGGAGAGCAGCATCCAGGACATGCTGGGTAGGGTCATGGGATGCAGCATCGTGTCTGTGTGTGGAGGAGGCAATCAGAGATCACTAAAGGAAGGGTGATCGGAGAGAGAGAGGGCATGCAGAGACCTTCCCATCCTACCTCTTGTCATTTCCTTTGAACCCCTAGAAATAAACTGACCTTGGTGACATCCACCCTTTTCTATAGTTCTGGAGAGAATTGAGGACTTTGCATCCTTAATGTCCCTAAGCCATCCCTTTGCTGAGTCTGAACTGCCATGGTCTATGAGGACTGGGATCCTCCTATATCTTCCCCCATAATGTGTGAGGGAAAACCCCTGTTACGTGTCTCATCTTTCTGCAGCTCTCACTTACCTGTCTCGCAGAGGTGTGGAATGGTTTGTCAGGACTGGAAAGCTTGAGCTTTTATAGGAGGACCTGAGGGAGGGCCACTGAAACAATACCAGGAATATGTAGGTGGTCCACTGGTCATGTAGAAGGACTTGGAATGGGTTCAAAGAGGTTCCTGCAATGGAAAGGAGATTCTTTCCAACAAAGGCTGAAAATTGCACAGATGTTACTTCTTTCCTGTTATCAGGCCAGCACTTTTCCAAGAACAAATGGAGTTTGAACTTTTTGCAACCTCTTCCTTGTCAGGGGCCTGTGGCGCAAAATGCAGTATTAAATTGTTAACAATAACATCCAAAGGAATAGTTCTTCTAATACATCTCTCAAGAAGTCAATTCCTCAATTTCTTTCTACCTTGTCTAGTAAGATTAAGTAAATTCTGGAATGATAAATCGGTATAGGAATTATAAGTGGCACAAATAGTTGAAGCCTAGATAGAATGGAAATTAAGATTAGGGGAGATAGTTCAGTATTGCTTCTTAAACATTAGCAGCAAGATTTCAAAAAATTCAGAGTTGACTTCCGGGCAACATGGCACTTAGTCAGAAGCACCCCACCATCCCTCCACAGCAAAGATCAGAAAAACTAAGTCAAACAGAGTCACACATCAATCCTGAAACCCTAAGCATCAAATGAAGAGATAAAGAACTCAGCGAAGCACCAAATAGAATAAAAAGCTGACCGAGAACAGAGAGCAAGGAAAGATATACGCAGAGGTCCCCTATCAGCTACCGCAACACGGATCCGCCATCTTCGACTCTTATTGGAGATCAGTGAATGGGAGATATGAGAAAGCAGCTTCACGGAGCTTCCAGCAGGAGACAGAACAACCGGCAACCAGCAATATAGGCCTTCCAATCCCCTACCCTTCTTCACCGCCACTTAGCCTCCTCTGCTTCCTGCAGCCACAGTCTCTTGGCAGGAAAGCAAGATTCCACCCACCTGCACTGGCCAGCTCCCTGAGCGGCTTTTATTGGCTAATGGTGTTGCTTTTTTCCACTTCTTTAGATTTTTTCCTTACCTCTCACCACCTTTCTCTCAAATACCTGGCTCTGTTTGCCATCTTTGCTTCTTCCTGAAAAGCTGCAAAACACCGCTCGACTGAGAAACTGCTTCCCGGCCCATGCCGCCACACTGGTGGGACCCCTGGTGCTTTTTTGTTTGTTTGTTTGTTTGCTCTGATTTGTTCTGTTTTGATATGTTTGTTTGTTTTCTTTTTCTTTTCTAGGCTTGGGAGCCTCTTCTAGCTGGACAGTACCATGTGGCTTGGAAGCTACTCCCTTACTCTGTGCAGACGCACAGGGACATCCCTGGGGGCATTTCTTTTTTCTTTGTTTGTTCTTGGGTTTTTTTGGTTTCTTTGTTTTGTTTTCTTCTTTCTCTAATTCCCTTTTTGTCTTTCTTCATTTCCAGTTTCTCGATTTATTCATTTTTTTCTTTTACCCTTTCTCTTTTCTTTAGTTTTGTTTTTCCCCATTTCTCAGTCTCTCATCTCTCCACTCCAATAGCAAGCTCCCTTAGCACTCTTTTTTGTTTGTGTGTATGTTTTTGGCTCCTGTTCCTCTCTCCTCTCTCTCATCTTTCTCATACTCATCTTAGCTCCACACATCACAGTCTACTCCCTCCTTCCTACCTACCTGCACCATGTGCTGAACATCACACTCCCAAGCAGCACAGGCATGGTCTACTGGAACCTGCCCTGCACTGATTCCCTGTCTGCACTGTCAGGCCTGGTACGTGGCACAAACAACCCATCCCAGCAACTCCCCTTCAGCTGGACCTGCCCTGCTGTACCATACCTGAGTGACTGACCCTGCCCATTGGAGAAGGAGGTGAAAAGTATCATGCCCACAGACAAGCAAACAACAAAGAATGCACAGCCCGCCTACCAAATAACCAAATTAAAAAAAAAGCAGGATGAAACAAACAAATCTACAATCAATAAATGCCCAGAAGACAGCAGACAATATCAAAACATTTACAAAAACAGGACAGGATGGTTCCAGTAGGCATCAAAAATAAAACACCTGATGACTTTCCAGTGGAAGAAAAGGCACTAGAACTACCTGATAGGGCATTCAAATCTCTAATACGCAGAACAGTAAATATAAATTAAACTCTCCCTATCTCTCCTTCTCCATTATGAATTTCTAATCATGCTCCCAATTTAGGTTTTTCATCATGTCCTGCAAGTAGACAGATCAATAAACTGTATTTACTATTATTTAATATTTTTAAATTTACAAACATGTATTATATTTTGCTACCATCCGTCAGTCTATTGTACTGTGGTGGCTTGCACATTGCTATGATGCTGGAAGTTATGCAACCAGTATTTCAAATACCAGCATGGTCACCCAGGGGGGACAAATTTCAGCAGAGCTTCTAGACTAAGGAAGGCTAGAAAAAAGGGCCTGGGGATCTACTTCTGAAAATTAACCAATGAAACCTTTATGGATAACCAACAGAACATTATCAGATACAGTGCTGGAAGATGAGCCCCTCAGGTTCGAAAGCACTCAAAGTACAACTAGAAAAAATGTCTGCCTTGAGCATTATGCTCTTTTAAGAACTATCTATATGGGATTAAAGTAACAACAGCAACTCGAAAGATTAGATAGAAACCTTAGGGGGCAGTGAGTTCATGTTCAAGGGGGAAGAATAACTCAGAAAAAGAAGGTGAGAATGGTTACACAACTCAAAGAATGTAATCGATTTTGTTGAATTTTATGTGTAGAAACTGTTGAATTGGTCTATGTTTTGCCTTGTATATTCTCAACCACAACAACAATAAAATACTTTTTTAAAAAAATTAAAAAATATATACAACTGGAGAATAGCTGCCTCCTCAAAGTAGGGTTGACCTTAATGACACAGATGGAGTAAAGCCTTTGGGATCTTCATTTGCTGATATGGCCTGACTCAAAGTGAGAAGTAATAGCTGCAATCATCCGTTAGTAATTGGAATGAAGAATGTACGAAGTATGAGTTAAGGAAAATTGGATGTTGTAAAAAATGAAATGAAACACCTGAAGATCAATATCCTAGGAATGAATGAACTGAAATGGATTGGTATTGGCCATTTTGAATTTGACAATCTTATGGTCTACTATACTGGGAACAACAAATTAAAGAAAAAACGGCATTGTGCTCATTGTCAAAAAGAACATTTCAAGATCTATCCTGAAGTACAATGCTGTCAGTGATAGGTTAATATCCATACACCTACAAGGAAGACCAATTAATAAAAGTATAATTGAAATTTACACACCAACCACGAACGTCAAAGATTAAGAAATTGAAGATTTTTATGACCAGCTGCTGTCTAAATTGATGAAAAGTAAAATCAAGATGCATTGATAATTTTGATGATTAGAGTGAGAAAGTTGGAAACAAAGAAGAAGGAACAGTAGTTGGAAAATATAGCTGTGGTGATAGGAACAATGCCTGAGATCACATGATAGAACTCGGCAAGACCAAAGACTTATTCATTGGAAATAGTTTTTTTTTTTTTCACCAACACAATCAAAGACTACATACACGGACCTTGCCAGATGGATTACACAGGAATCAAATCACTATGTCTGTGGAAAGAGATGATGGAGAAGCTCAATATTATCAGTCAAGATAAAGCTAGAGGCTGACTGTGGAACAGACCATCAATTGCTCACATGCAAGTTAATGTGAAAGCTGAAGAAAATCAAAGTAAGTCCTTGAGATCCAAATTATGACCTTGGATATATCCCACCTAAATTTAGAAACCATTTCAAGAATAGATTTGAAGCACTGAACGCTAATGATCGAAGATTAGAAGAGTTGTGGGTTGACATCAAGGATAGATTATACTTGAAAAAAAGTAAAAGGTCATTAAAAAGAAAGGAAGAAGGCCAAAATGGATGTCAGAAGTGACTCTGAAACTTGCTTTTAAGCACAGAGTAGCTAATGCAAACAGAAGAAACGATGAAATAAAAGAGCTGAACAGATTTCAAAGGGCACCTCTAGGTAAAGTATGACAATGAAATGTGCAAAGACCTGAAGTTAGAAAACAAAAAAGGAAGAGCACAATAGGCATTTCTCAAGCCAAAAGAATTGAAGAGAAAATTCCAGTCTGAAGTTGCAGTTTTGACAGATTGTATAGGCAAAAAATTGAATGGCACAGGAGGCATCAAAAGAAGATGGAAGGAATACACAGAGTCACCGTACCAAAAAGAACTGGCCAACATTCAAATATTTGAGGAGGTATCATTTGATCAAGAACCCCTGGTACTCAAGAAAGAAGTTCAAGCTGCACTGAAGGCTTTGGCAAAAAACAATGCTCCAGGAATGGATGGAATACCAGTTGAAACACTTCAGCAAATGTATGCAATGATGCAAGTGCTTACTCATATATGTCAAGAAATTTCTAAGACAGTTACTTGGTGAACTGACTGGAAGAGATCCATACTCTTGCCCATGCCAAAGAAAGAGAATCTAATGGAATGCAGAAATTATTGAATAATGTCATTATTAGCACATGGTATCAAAATTTTGCTGACGATAATTCAAAAACAGCTGCTGTCATTCATTAATAGGGAACTGTTCAAGTCCAAGCCAGATTCAGAAAAAGAGGTGGAATAGTGAAATCATTGCTAATGTCAGATGAATC